CAGAATTTCTCATCCACTGCTTATTCATAAATCGGTTGCCTCTGGCAATTATAAAGCGAGAAAACGCGAATTTGAAGAAGGTGGTAAAACTTCTTCGTAGTGAAGGTTATTTCGTTAATGAGCAAGGAATTATTTGGGTATACAAGAACAGATGTGCTTATAGTCAGTGAAGTTTGAAGATATTCAGCGAAACTTTTAGATAGTGATAAACCCGTCGAGGGACGCATTGAAGAAAGCGAAATTAAATATGGTGTTGAGTGGCTGCGCGAATGGTGAGCGGATTTTAATGATCGACATGGATGCGTGTGAAGTGGACGCACGGTTGCTTAATGAGTGTATCGATAGCGGGTTGAATGCGATCACTCGTATCATAAATGCCATCAACGAAATTGCTTCGAAGGCGGGAAGACCGAAGCTCGAAGTAATTTTTACTCTGTATAGGAACTCTCTTTAATTTTCAGTTATTGCGGTGTTCGTGATGAATTTCTGTCAAGTGATTGTAATGTTTTGATACATTTGGTGCATGCTTCGTACATTTTATGTATCACACTTTACATATTGTGATATATTTCACACAAATCTGTGTGTCCATTCATGCATATTTCAGAAACGATATCAACTTTTATCTACAGTCAAACATTTGCTGTGTTATGTATGAAGGTAACATTTTGTGGACATGAAGAACAATTTCATTGTTTTTCAGTTAATAGAGCCAGAATGTGATGATGAATTAATGGAAGAGATAACAAAGCTGAGTAGTGAACGTCTGTATTATATACTGACCGATGCAAGTCACGATAAAACGTCTCGTGATAAGGCTATCGCTGAACTACGTGATGAGATCGTTAATGCATTTGCTCATGAAGAAACTTCATTCGTTAAACACTTATTCTCTAAGTTCACGAAGAAAACATTGCGGTTTGTTATTTGTTCATGCGTAATTGCACTGATTAATTCATTGATTGCGGCACAGTGGAAAATTATTTATGAGATTAGTTTTTTACAGTGCGAATGGTATTACTATAGACTGTTCTGCATTTAGAGATATTGTGATGGAAACAAACGTTCGATGTGATGGACGTGGCTTGGAGGATTTTCGACCGATCAATATTGAAGTGAACTTGTTTGATAAGTTGCATGGCTCTGCGTTGTTTCAGCGTGGTCAGACTCAGGTACATAATTCGGTTTTGATACACAAAGACGTTGTAACGGAAAAGTGAGTGACCTCTGATTCGATCATTGTTGCTCTAATAACAGATAACACGTCTCTTAAAGGAAGCACCGGTTTTGAATTGAATGGATATCATGCAGATAAATATTGTAGGTAATGGGAACAGTGACGTTTGATTCACCATCAGCTGCATTTCATCCAGATTCCATATCACAATTGCTCGGTGCACAACGTCGCAAGATGTTCATGTTGAATTATGAATTTCCACCTTATGCCGTCAATGAGATATCGACATCCAAGCGATTGAATCGACGTGAATTAGGTCATGGAGCATTAGCCGAAAAGGCTTTATCACATCTCATTCCTCATAATTTTCCATATAGTATTCGACTGGCCTGTCAGGTTAGCTTTATTTAACCTTCAACATTATTCACTTGATATCGTATTCTTGAAGTGTACTTTTAATAATAATAATAATAATAATAATAATAATAATAATAAGAGTTATTGACTTAAAGGTGTTAGAGTCGAACGGTTCATCTTCGATGGCATCGGTATGCGTCGGAAGTTTGGCGTTAATGGATGCAGGTGTTCCGCTGAGGTCACCTGCCGCAGGTGTTGCGATTGGCTTGATTACGAATGATGAGGATTGTTCTGATTATCGAATACTCACTGATATTCTCGGTATTGAAGATTATGCTGGTGATATGGATTTAAAAATTGCTGGTCGGTTCTCTTCAATTTTACTTATTGTTAGTATTCTCGTCATTTAATTTTCAGCTGCACTTTTCTTGGCGTTTCTGTTGATTTGCAGCAAGCAAGTTTCATATTCAAGCTGCTTTTTTGATCTTATTCGTTATTATGCTTGAAATTGATGCATTCAATGATGTCGTATGATGTGCATATTGGTTGTCGGTGAGATAGTCTGATTTGAAAATGCTTTCTCGATTGAAGGCACATCCAATGGTCTAACAGCAATGCAGCTCGATTTGAAAATAGCTGGATTGAATCGCAAAATTTTGACTGAAGCAATCGATCGCGGTCAAGAGGGTATAGCGCACGTGTTATCAATAATGAATGAAGCACAGAAAGGACCAAGAAGCGAGTTCAAGGATTGTGTTCCAGTTATTGAGAATATTTCTATACCAATTTTTAGAAGGCATATTCTATTCAGAAGTGGTGCATATAACGCCAAATTAATTGAAGCCGAAACTGGTGTCAAGGTAGATTCATTTAATCTGATTCTTTCGTTTTCGTATGTTCTAACATACATCTTTTCAGTGAAATTTTAGTTTTCAGTTGCTATAATAGCTTTATTTTTTTTCTCTGAATAGATTTGATAAAGTAGTGAATAGAGATCTGAAGAAGTTAGCGATGATATTCCATGACAGTTATCTTTCAAACAGCGTTCTTGCAGATCTTGTGAAAATTACGTTACGATTAAATCCTTTGCATCATTATTTTGCATATTTTATTGTGATTATTTCAGATTAATATAGAGGATGATGCAAATATCAGTTTAACAGCACCAAATAAATCAAAACTGGGTGAAGCGAAAGATATGATGGAAAGGTGGGACGGCGTTCGTAGTATTCAAACTCATTCTATGACTCCACTGAATTTTGCATATGCTGACAAGATGTGAAATAATCAAAATTGAAACAACTGCGTTAATTAGTCGTTTTTTCTTTGGTTTTCAAAATCTGATATTGATTCTTATTTGTATTGATATTATTATTTGTTAAGAATGTTTGCGGATGAGAGTGATATTGAATTGAATTTTGGTGCAATATATAAGGCGGAGATTGTTGAAATTCTCGAGAATGGAGTTATGGTGACGCTGAAGAAGGGAATGCGTCCAATGTTTCTCAAAAACAGGTGAAGTTTTTATGTTTTTTGAGTAATATTTTATGAGACAAATCTGTAAACAACTAGGAAATTCGTTGATTCTGCGATGAAATTTAATTTCAACTTTATTAAAAAATAAACTAAAAGTTTCAAACTGAAATCAATCGTTACATTGCAGCAACCTGGATGCAAGACGTGTAGCGCATGCGAGCGCTCTTGGTCTTGAAGTTGGTTCATTGATTACGGTACAGTATTTGGGAAGAGATTCTGCAACAGGCCATCATCGTATCTCAAGAAAAACTTTGCAATCCGCCACACTTCCACTTCAAAATCTCACTCGAAAATAGCGATTCATCTACATTTAATTATCATTTGCGTACGGTGCCTATTGATTGTTATTGTTGTTGTTAATGTTGCGAAATGTAGTGAAACATTCTATTCTGATTAGTTTTCATTTAGTGAATTTCTGATTTTAATATCAGCTCATAATACTACTAGGTTATTGAAAATGTGTGGAGAATTGTGTCGAATATAATTCGCTTCTAAGTGATCAAATATAATTTCAGTTCTTCGCAGCTCAAAAATTGTGTGAGTCTTGAAATAGTGTTTGTTGGAGGAAGGACATTCAGATCAACTAAGAAATAATCCACGTGATATTTCGGTGTGTTCTTTCTCAGTGAAAATCTACTTTTCAATTCTGGACTCGTGCTGAGACTTGATTTAAGAGCCAGATTTTTGAAATTTCAAAATTCTTCAGTTTACGGCTCGTTCGAGTCAATGTAATACAAGTGAAAAGTTCTCTTTTCTCTCATATTGTCAATCCTATCAAGATGGAAGTTCATTTGAATTCTTATAATACAGAATGGAGTATTGGATTGATAACTGTCTAGATATTAAATGTGCAAGTTGTGATGTCAGATAAGAATTTCTGCTATGTTCATGTTACAAGCAGGAAATTTTGATGTTGTCCTTCTCGCATTCAGAGAGAAATGAAAATATGTATGAAAAGTAGCGAAAGTTGTTCGTGACAAACAAACATAGCAACTCATTGGCTGGGATCGACTAGAATTGGATGGATTAGGTGGCTTCATTCCTGGTGTTTTCAAAGGCTGAAACTAGCAATAGTCATGACATTAACACTCTGGACAATCCCAGTGTGAAGCTTAGGTTCAGCTATGGAAGAAGATTGCTAATTCATGAAGTTTGGTGGTGTACTGATTTCACCTAGCTCTTTGATGTATTACTTGAAACGAATTCGTTTCTTTGAAATTAAGCATTATCGCTCGATGGTGATCTCTTGAAACTAGAGAATGTCGAGAATGCGATGGTGCGAAGGATTTACAATATTACGAAGCATGAGGATATGCATCATTTGAATTTGGTGCACCTGATAATTCTGTAGCAGATAGCTACTGATCACATTCCAGACCGAACGTTTACATCTTAACGGAAAAAACGATTCCTTTCAGTTCTATCACATGCCTAGAGAAACTTAGATACTTCTTGAAAAGTAAGCACTATCTTCGACAAGTTATATGCCCCGGCCATTTTTGTAGAGCCCCTCTAGTTGAACGTAGATGGGTAAAACATTTTTGCGAAATACTAAAACGAGGTGAGATATAAGGGAGTAAAGGACATCTGTACTAGTGTTGTGCCGGGAGTTCACGAAGTCCGGGTCTCCGTTCCCGATCTTTTTGGAGTGTCGGCCATTTTCGGGTACAATCCTCGTCCCCAAATGTCACCAAAGTCTCAAAATTTCGGGGAGATTACCTGAAATTTCTCGAAAAAAAAATTTTCGAGAGGTACTAAATGTATTACCGTTAACACGTTGTTATGAATCGCGACAAGGACTTTCTGAGCATTCCGTTCACAAGTTGAATAGCGAATAGTGAAATGTTGTGCATTTATGGGTACTAACATTGTCCACCATATAAGTATGTTACCTACGATGATTTAATGCAAGTAGCTCTCATCTTACCTTCAAAAAAACTTTCTTTTCCCGAGAGAACCCTGTCATCTGAAGTTGTGGCGAACAAGCTCGGAAACGATTGGAGAGTAATTAATCGAAGAAGGCAATCTTATGAATGAGTGGAAAAGCAACGCACGACCATTCTGATGGAACAGATCTGCACATGACACTAATGACTATCCGATGCAGTCTTATTGTCAATATCGATGCTGTTTTATTGATATTTTTATCATTCTTTTCACTGTTAATATTTGAATAAAACATTGTAGGTAGAGCTGCATTGTGCTTTCGCAGATATCGGTTTCTTAGCCTAAAGATTGCTAATTTCAATGATTTTCCATTAAAAAATCATGTTTTGAAGGTCCTGCTGACTCTAGTTCCAAAGTTTCATCTTCGGGGAGTCGGGAACGGGGATAAGATTGATAGAGTTCTCTCCCCGGAACTCCGTCCCCGACCATTTTCGAGTGGCGGCCATTTTCGGGGACTGTACCCGTCCCCGACTTTATTTCTCTTCCCACATAACGCTAATCTGTACATTGAGATATGTTTAAACTGCTTGTGTCATCAGCGTTGTGGCATTGTGAGCGGGAGGTTGGAATCGAGCATAAGTAGTAGTGGTTCGATTAAGCTTGGTGGAGGCTGGTTTTTCTCATGATTAACCTTCACGATGAGACTGATGGTGATTCAGTGATAAATGATTGGTCATCGTTTGACAATTATGAGTTGACTATCAGTTATGAATCAGTCGATCAGTATCAATTAAGTAGATGCTGATCTGGATAAGTAAGGAAAGAGCACAATGATTGATCCAGAACGTCATCTTAAGATTTTAGAGAGGCGAGTAGAGGATGTATTCAGCACAAGCGAAACCTCACTTTTCTTATGCATACTTGAGAATTTCATCAGCAAATTGCATCCGTATATAATTCCTCATGATTGGTCCATGGAACTGGTTCCCTCTCTGGGGTGAACCCTTATTCCTTATGGGCGAATCTTTTTTCCTTCTCGAGGAACGCCACTTTTCTATACTGTGAGACAAGAGCAACTAAATATTTTGCGCTTCCAAGCACATTAATCCCTCATCATCTCAGAGAAATTTCCTGACTGGAGGTGATTTTAGAACTGAAATGTCCAACAATTATAGCAGTGCTGTACCAATTGATGAAACTCTTTTGCAACTTCAACAAGAGACAACTATTTCTCAGGAACTAAGCATTATCGCTCTTCTGAAGTGTATAATAGCCTGAAAGTTAAGCATCTTGAGAATGCGATGATGCGAAGAAACTTTTCCATTAGACGAAGTTGAGGGTATCGATAGTTTGATTTTGATCCACTGATGTTCTTGTAGCAGTTCGTTACTGATCAAATTCAAGAACAAATGCATAGAGTTTGGCGCTACAACGATTCCCTTCAGCTTTGTGCTGTAAACATTGTACTGTTCCAATTCCCAAAACACCATTTCGATGAAACGGTTCAAATCAGTAAATAAAGATGAACATATGGGAAAGGCAACATATTTATCGCATATTCAGATAAAATGCATGTTAATAGCCAAAACAAAGATATTGTATGAAAGCTAAGAATACTAACATAAGACTTTAACTACGAATATGATCTTTTAGGAACGTGAGAATGGGAGACGAAATGAAGGCCATAAAAGAAGGCAGTGAAGAAGCCGAGTAAGCGATATCAAAGAAGTTCGTCATTCAGTCGATATATGTGATATGCGCACCCTAGGTAATATAACTAATCCATACTCAGACCATCAAGTTATTCATTGATATCGTAGTATCTATTGGCCAGCAAGTGGCCCCAAATATTGTAAATTGATATTATGATCTTAATCGGCCAACGAGTGGCTATTGATATTGTACATTGATGTCGTGATATTAATTAGCCAGCAAGTGGCCTTCCATATTATAATTTGTCCACGACATTTGTATTTCCTCAATTAAGTTAAATTCTTCTGTATTGTATATTTGTAAACGTCCTTAATATACTGTATTCGATTATTCTTCCTGTATTACACATAATATTTACTGTGCCATATCGGCATAAGCTTACGGTTAACTGTTTCCTGCAAACTAAGTCTTATATTCCTGCGAAGTGAGCATTATATCTGACGAGGAATATGATTTCCTGAAACTGGAGGATTCGGAAAATTAACGTTCCAGCGGTAACCTTTCGCTACTGTTTTGGAAATTGATAGCGGTAGTGCATTATCTTCAGCCGACAAAACTTTTTTTCTTCCATCCACAGCGGAGCTAAAGTTATTCAGTAGCGTGTCCATCACTGTATTTACTATTAACACGCTTTTTCTTCATCATGAAAATATTTCAAGCGTTACATACCTATATCAGACAAATGGAAGTCACAAACTAATTCAAGTAATGTGATCCGAATGGATGACACTGAGAAACAATTCTAGTTCTGTACTGCCGAAGGATGATTACACATCCAGAAGCTGTGGATAAGCATCCATAACACATGGTGATTGCGCTGCTGAGACGCATTCGATCAATATTTGATTCAGTATTGATTCGCTGAATGATATGTGCTGTGTTTCTGCATCACTGTTTCATGGTTTGGGTTGAATTGTGGAATATGCATGCTGCANACAAATGAATTCCATCAAAAACTGCTTCGAGACATTAATTGGCAATTTTTGCATATGTGGACGCGGGTTTAAGGTGTGATGCATTCAAGCAGTCCATGTATTCCAGTAAAAAATTCGATCGGCTTAGATTTTTGCGATTTTTCTCATCCATACGGTCAATAAAAACTGTAATTATTATTTAACTACAGTAATTAATTTGTATATTTGGTATGTGTTTGATGTTGAATAGAAAGAGATATAGTTTGCAAGATTATTATTTATTGGATAAGATGTGAGTTACACTATAATGTTCTGATTGTAAATTAATGTGAAGAATATAAGACGATGAATAGTAACAAAGGATAACGAACAACGAAAGTAAATAATTAAATGCAAACGAGAACAATCGAAATTAAAGAGCAACAGATCACTGGATTCGTTGACGTGGTCGAGTAGATTGGCGTTGATGTCTGATCCTGACGAACGTAAATGAAATGATTGATATTAGTTGGTTTGGAAGTCAGTCTGCTTGGGACGTTGATATATTTTCGAGACGATTGTCTCAGGAATATAGTTTCGAGGCTATTGTCTTGCGAATATATTTTCGAGATGATTATCTCAGGAACGTAGTTTCGGGGTTATCGCCTTACGAATATATTTTCGAGATCAATACCTCCAGAGAATAGAATAACCAGGTGATTGAGCCGAAGACGACCTAAGCTATAGATAGCTCTCTTTTTATACAATTTCAACTGCTAAAGATTCCGCCCCTTTCCCAGGGATTTAAGCCAATATTTTGACTTGGGAATTAAGCGATTATTTTTATGGCTTTTCTTAATACTTTATTATCGGTCTTTCGATCAGTTATTTTGCCCCGAATTATTGTGCTTTTGTATCGAAAGAGCTGCTTGAGCAGTTATCAGCTGCTACAATCAGCTAGTCAGCCAGAACGAATGCTTCATTCGCATTTTGCGGCAAAACAATCAAATTATGGAAAGGTTACAAAGGCTTGCGTTTGATATATAAAATTATAAATAATTTAGAAAGAACAACACTTGCGAGGAATGTTAGAAGTTTGATAGGTCCTGATGAGACGTGATGTGAACAGCCTTAGCAGGCTAGAAATAATATTATGAATAAGTGGTTTGTCTTACAATGATCTTTACATACCCCTTGTAAGGAAAGAATCTGTGATCACAATTACAACATAAATTTCAAGACAAACATTTACATTAAGAATGAATGAGATGTCTAGAAGACTGTATATTATGACAATTGCGGAATGTACATCTTATAAATGTGTATTCGAAAGCATGGGAGTTGAGCGATAGTGCTTGTATTTTGTGATAACGGTGATGGCATGAACTGTTTGCATTTTTGCAACTTAAATAAGTGTTTCCTGGAAATAGCCCGTGTACAATAACAACGAATCTTTCGCGATAGTCGCGACAGAAACAAGCATGGAAGGAAATATGCAAATCAAATGGGTCAAGTGCTGAATTGGAATTACCCTAATCAATACTATTACCCTAATACTATTGGAATAACCCTATATGCATTTTATTTTTAATGAAATTAGACAATATAAAACGAGATCGTTAGAGAATATGAGCATTTTTAGAATGCGCTGTGAAGTGGAGTGGTTTTTTGTATTCGCTGCTTTGTCAGCATTAGTTTTTGTGGGGGGAGCACAGCAAGGAGGTTCTAATGTACCCGGCTCACAGCAAGGAGGTTCTAATGTACCCGGCCCACAGCAAGGAGGTTCTAATGCAGGCAAACCATTGCCGGATGCGACATCGAGTAACGGCAATTCAGCACGGACAAGCAACAGTCAGGTAGCCCGTAGTACATCTACGACCGGCCCAACGGATGCAACAACAGCGACACCAACATCATCAGCATCCACCAATCAAATAATCAGCAGTATCTCTTCCGGCAACTCACCGACTCCAAAAGCAAGTTCACCCCTAACGGCAATGCCCGGTAGTAAGACAACCGCTAATAACACTCCCGGCAACTTACCGATTCCAACAAGTTTACCCCCAAAGGCAACGCCCGGTAAGAAGACAACCGCTGATAACACTTCCGGCAACTTACCGATTCCAAAAGCAAGTTTACCCCCAAAGGCAACGCCCGGTAAGAAGACACCCGCTAATAACACTTCCGGCAACATAGCGACTCCAAAAGCAACTACCCCCGCAAGAGCGATGCCCAGCAGTCGAAAAATTAACGACGCCCATTCGAGCAGCCCATCGAGTTCAACAACAGTGATGTCAACAGCACTCAGCAGTCAAACATTTAATGCTACCTATTCGAACACCTCTGCGAGTTTAGCAGAAACCATTTCAAAAGCAACACCAACACCCGACAATGAAACAGTCAACGATACCAATTCGAGCAGCTTGTTGGTTCCAGAAGCAATGATACCATCCTCACCAATACTCAGCAGTCAAGCAGAAAGCACCAGTCCGCATTCGGCGACGTCAAAAGATCAGCCAAGCGATGGTTCGGCAAAATCAGGACATCAAAAAACTGGTTCATTACACAATTTTAAAAGATACCGTCAAAATCTAGCTTGTAATAATTAGAGTACTAATTGTTATCACCACCAGTATCTTAATCGTCTTTCCAGTGCAGACAGTATCCCCTATTTTAAGATCGCTGAATGACTTCAGTAGAACTGATTGGATGGTTTAATTGTGATGCTTTGAAACGATTACGGTTAATGAATTCACATTTATAAACTGACAGAATATAATATTTGATTTGATGAATGCAGAGTGATGATGATGCAGTGAAACTGATTGATCATCAATACTCAACAAACGATTTCCATTTTTTTTCTGAAAGCAGCACTTTCAGGTGGAGGATGCGTTTATGAGCCATGGAATTGCCGAGTGCCTTATAAAGGTCTTTATTAATGAACCGCATTNCATTGGTTGTTACAGTATCAGTAACTCGATTGAACACAGGAGGCAACCCAATCAGGAAATGCCCACCTTTCCGCAGTTATCATAAGTTCAGCGTTCAATTAGTGGCATATCCCATGCCAACAGAGGAAAATGCATCCATAGCTCTCCCATTCTGCCTATTAACAACATAATTATGGATTTGTTGGATGTGATAGATCGATTTATGTACCGATTACTCTTAGTGCGCACAAATAAAATAGTCTTCAATTTATGTTAAGTGAGGCAGTAAGAAAATCGTTTCAAGGTGCGGGTCCTGCGTTAAGGTGGACGATTGTGGTGTTGGCATGTATATTGGCATTACTGATAATGATAGCATGTTTGATGGTTATTTCTGATAGAAAGAGACATAAACCAGTCACTGAGGAAACTATACCTCTTAAGGTACTCCACTTCTGCTCTCGATCATGCATATACTCAGGTTTCTTACGTGTTCAGTTTCACAGTCAGATCCGTGAAGCACTATTCCTCTAATCAGGATTTTCACGTCACGGAGAAAATTTATGCGCATCAAGAACGTTGCTGAATTATTTATGAGGAACCGATCTCGTTGACGAAAATAAGTGATTGTGAATTAGTGAACAGGCAAACGAATCCTTGAGGATCACAAAAAATGTTATGCGCAGTCATCAAACATTGAAGGGCACGATTTTTCGAGCATTTTGAGATTTAACTTTGCTCAATGTTAATTATAATTAATGATCGCTCAATTTAATAATTTCAGAAAGCTACATGATCCTTACGTTGAGTGGTACGTATTCGCAACAAACATCAACTACTTCAGAACCGAATATAAATAATTCTGAATATTCCAATAAACGATTGCATTCACTTCTTTGTCACAATCAATTGCGTCACGTGTAATCATTAAACCATGCATAAAATTAGGACATTTTCAATGCTGCCTTTCCACTGAAAAATTGGATGTCAAATTGTGCTGTTATTCCACTGTTATCCATTCGAGTTCAGTGTCCAATTACGTATCTCATCTCGTCTGGGAGTTTATCTCACGAGGTATCTGGTGAAACGTGAGTACGCAAACTGAACTGCTTTTTGAAGCTAAAAAAGTGAACTATATAGGAAAGACCGCGAAAAGAGGGTTTGTAAAATGTGCCGTGAAAATGGCAAAAGTTGTGAATGTTTTCTCGTTATTAGCAATAAGAAAAATAAAATCACCCTTCTAAAACCACTTCATATCTGATCGTGAGTTGATTGTTTCATCTACTTGATCAGTAATTACAACTCATCACCGGCATCACATTCTTCTTTCGTCGACGTCCCTCTTTCTTCACAGCTAACGATATCTTGTAAAAATTTATTCCCGATGATTGGTTTAGCGATGATGGAGGTGTACTGCTGCTCTCCCATATTGCTCAATGACTTCTATGGACAGGGGCTGCCGTATGCTGCTCGATACATCGAATAGTGATATTCATTTTCATCGTTTCCATGTCCAATCGCTTCGCACGAAAACCTCGTTTCATGAGAGGGCACATTTTACTGACATCAGGATGCACAGTGGCATCATTTTCGACCTGCGAAAGTTCGGCCGGATGGTATCCTGTTTTGCGTTGGAAACTTGAGCTTTTTACGTCCATGAGATTTTCAGAATAAGGTTGCTGATGATTGTGTTGGCGAGTATTCATTGTAGATGTCATCAGTGTTAGCGACTGAAAGCAACAAATGTATTTCTGAAATACATGTCTCTAATTACATCAATAAATATGTCCGCACGAATTTCTTACTGATCTAGAATATGCATCGCACCGCCGTAACGTTTCTATGTTTACCACCACTTCAATTAGATTCTGAACGTTTCTCGTTTCAAGCCACGTCTTCGTGCTACCGCAACAACATTGTCACCGCCGATGAATCGTGCATTTACGCACAACACCTGATCTCTCCCACAGCATAAATCATCCAGAACATTGCAGGCGTAGTGGTAACCGACAATTAGCCCCGCGACAGGTCCCTACCGGAGAAATAACGCCTTGCTATTCAGTGATGAGATTTACGGGTTGTCAGTTGTCAAGGTGAGACTTGTCGTGCAGCAAACTGCCGTGGATCCAGCTCAGTAGATTTGGTTTGGCGATATCCTACACACTGTTAGTTATAATGTTTCGTCCACGACAACGTGCCACTCCGACAATTTGCGCGTGTCTCATCAAGAGCATGGTGCTTTTTGTGGGAGTTAGACTCGTCGTGGATGCATTTGTCGGTCACCCGTGATGTTAATCGTTGAAATTTGAACAAATTTCCGTTTTGTTCTAAACTGCAAAATCTTAATGGCGTAGTAGGGCTATTTGTTCTTGATTTACCAATCGTTTTTAGTGACGATTCTCTTCTCGGTGTTCTAACTGAAGCATTATCACTAGAAGAACTGTTAGCGGTGTTGTATGAACCTTTGATTTCACGATGTTAAGTAACCACCTTTTGTGTTAATCTCTTGAAAACGCATGCAAAAAGCAGAATGAAATTGGAAAACCGTGCAACTCTCTGTGCAGAGATCACTAGTTGTTGAAGATTGCAAAAATTATTTTGTCTATGATAGAATTATCAATGAAAGTGTTATTAACGATCGCTACTTTGCGTTAGGTGGTACGGAAGTCATCGAATAATTGCAGAGAGTTTATGGTCAGATGCAGACGAATTTATCGTTTTGGTGTGGCGTTATTATTTCGTGTGCACTGATCGTACAGTGTTATGGAACACTATCGAAATCTGATCGCAAACAAAAAATTAATAAATCAAACGTTAAAAACAAACAGATCAAAGTAGCAACAGTTACACCAACAGTTGTGGATGCAGACGTATCTGCGGTTAATATTTTGTTCCGCTTATGTTAGCTGATTCAAATCGAGCAATAATCAAGCGCACTGTTGAATGATACAAAATATGTACCTTTGGGCAAATGATTATTTTCAAAAGCGTGCACCAGTTCAAGTTCTAGGAGGCCGATGTTCATCTGCTTTTCCGTACTCTGATTTATGCTCGCCTCTAACTTTTTAGATGTGAAAAGGCCTGGAATAAAGTAGCTACGTTCTTCTTTTGAATAATTTTTGATTTATGAATCCATTCTAATCGCAACAAATATTCATTTTTGTTCATTTAGCTGGAAGTAGATCCTGATGATGTGACATTGAGCAGCATTCTTGCAAATCATAAGAATCTGAATACGGGTGCAAAAGTATTCGATAGGGCGACGCTTGGCTATGTTACACCGGTTAGATTAATATTATTGTTATGCGTTTGATTCTTCATCGTTTAACATTATTATTCAATCGTTTTGACACGAACTGATTCAGTGGAATTCACATGGTTATGATATTGCGAAGTGGGCCGCTAATAAGTTCACACACATATCTCCGGTTTGGTTCCAACTGAAACCAGCTGTAATTGATGGACGTAAAACGTGTTCAGTTGGGGGGACGCATGATATCGATCAAGGTATTCAGTATGAGTTAATTTTATTTGGCTGAATATTATTAACGGTGGTGATAAGCATTGGTATAACCAAAGGGGGGGGGGGTGCAGGGGATACACCCGCCCTGCAACATGGAGGGTGAAAGAAAGGAGAAAAAAGGGAATGAGAAGGGAGAAGAAAGTGAAAAAAGAAAGAGGGGAGGGAAAAGAAAGAAAAAATAAACGTAAAAGAGCCCACTCTAAAATTCACTTGTTTTTGGGGCCAGACAGTTTTACGCTATTCCCTCTGGGGAAAACGCTAGCTATAAAATAACCAAGATAAAGTTACAAAAATTTGCTAGTAATTGAGTTTATCGTCAGAATTAAATTATATGAAAATTGCAGTCGATCTCTGAAATGTTGACGAAACTATTGTGAAGGGTAGAATTCAGTTATCGAAGTGACAACAACTGTTAATGTAATGATCGTTTTGGTTAGGTTGGATACGAGATGTGCGTTCAAATAATTCGGAAATTGCGATCGTACCTCGATTTCTGATTGAACAGTGGACGAGCAAAGAAGCGGCTGCGTTCCTCTATGATGAATTGTGGCAGAGGAGGTGTGTACAAGTTATGACCGATTTGATTGAGGTTAGACTTCACTTTGAATTTTGTTTTCATTTTTGTATGCTTATTAGAGTGCTCGAATATCGTTTGGGAAGTGCTCGGTATGTTGGTGAATACGTGAATTCATTTGGGAGATAGATGTTTCATACGTTGGCAATCTGTGAACTCAAGAATCTATTTCAGCGGAACGAAATGCAAGGAGCTGTTGTAGAAATGTGGTTACAGTTGTTGAGCTTAACAGGTGCAAAAATGACTGAGTTAGTGACCGTTATGTTTTATTCGTTGCATTATTTCCTTAAAATTGATATTTTCCTTGCTGTTATTATTGTAAATAATTTTGTTAATGGTTAATTTATAGAATTTGAATGAGAATACTCATTTCCCTAATTAATACATTCAGTACGCAATAGCATACGATTTTGCTTCGTTTCCCTGTGTGATGATCAACTTATAACTGTTCGAAGCTCACTTTTCAGTATGAGTCAAGGTGCTCGGTCGTTTTCGCCTCCTTTTCCTACATGTGTTAATCATACCATAGTTTTCCCCATCCTATCAATTGCAAACAGCAAATGAAAACTATTACAGAGTCATGATCGAACTGATTCAGAGTTGGTGTGAATTTTTCCACGCCAAAGATCTCGAATTCATTATGCCGTTGAGTCCACCGTTAAATGCAAAGTAAGTTTTGTGAGTATTTTAATGGAGCTGTGAAGACGGAAGTATAGGTGCTCGAGTGACATTCAGTCTTGTGAATGCATTGGTCATTTATTTTAATGTTGATCACTCCAGATCACTCTAGATTCAAATCGTGAATCTAGAGCGATCAAATAGTTTGTAATAACATAATTATTCGACTGAATACGTATAATGCTCAATAGCATAAGTGAATTAGGATTATTATGTTCATTCAAAATAGTTGGTTGTTCGTGTTTTTATCAAGAGGATTTTGTTTGTGCTTGAAACTCTATCCGCTACTTTATTCACAAGTTTATCGGTTACATAATTCCTGTCCTTTCATTTCTTTCGAGTGCAATCCGTTTTATAAGGCGATTTTTTGAATTTATGGAGATGATATGAATAGTTAAGGTATGAATTAACTGGAATCATCTCCACAGAACATTTCGCCGAAATGGCAAAACATGTTGACTTTATCAATGTTATGGCATATGATTATCATACGGATAGGTCAGTTTTTTTCGATATTCTTTTTGGAAGTTCGTTTCTACTTTATCATCTTGCTTTCGTTTCGGCTTCTTAATTAGGAGTCTCCACTGTGAATTCTTCTCTTCCGGAACGTGCGATCCACTATATGTTCTGCTGTTATCGTACCCTATTTCATAATTTATCAACGTTTTCATTTCGTCAGAATAGAAGATGTAAATCGAAAGATTAGATCTTTCAAGTTTACCAGTCGAAAAAATTGTGTTCGTTTGAACTTTTAATTTGATTTTCCGATAAACCAGTCATCACTATTTGCAATCCAGAGAAGAGAGCATCATATAAGGGATCGTTCATAAAGCTCAATAACTAACGATAAGCAATCAAGGAAATATTTTCAGTGAAAGTAACTAATTTGATATCTTTAAAGGCCAGCAGGTGTGGCACCCATAGAGTGGATTCGTAGAAATATGGAATTTTTATTGAAAGAATCCCCTGTGAGTGCCTCTAAGGTGTTGTTAGGTATCAATTTCTACGGTTTCGAGTTTACTGAACGAAGTGTCGACGCTATTACTTCGCCGAAGTAAGTGTGCTCGCATTTTATTTTTGAGTAATAATTAAGCAAATTTTGTGTATCTTTGCGAGGTTCGTTTCTCATATCGTTTGCATTAATTGTTAATTATTCGTTTTGTTGGTCGAAGTTGGTTCACTTTTTTATAATTATCTTTAAACTCGTCTCGATTAAGGTATTTGGAACATCTGAAATCTGATGAAGCGTCGTTGAACTGGGACGATTCGAATGCTGAGCACTTCGTTGTAGATGGGTGAGTCAGAGCTGTCGGTTTTCTGCCTAATAGATTTTCTATTCTCACAATCGTTTTCATCGACTATTTTTTAAATCTTTGATTTTCTATCGTGAATTTCTCTAGAAACAGTGAGAATTTAAAATATCTGTAGAATCATTATGTCAGTGGAATAAATTGCAATTTTATGTTTAATTTTTGATGAATGTTTTAGTAAAATTGGTGGTTAATGATATTCTTTTCATAATCATCGTCCATATAGCATTGAATAGCCAGATCACAACAGAAAAGAATGAGTCAATAATATCGTGAATTTGGTTGATAAGTATTGGCAGTACTGATTGTTTCAGACATTCAATAACGTATTATCCATCATTAGCGTCGTTGAGTGTTCGACTTAAGTATGCGAAACGTATGAATATGGGTATCGCAATATGGGATATTGGACAAGGATTGAATTATTTCACACGTCTTCTTTAATTCCACTGCTTTTGCTATACAAATTTATTCATTTAACAATCAGTTTCAGCTCAATAACGGTAAACGCCTCTATGTTATCACCAGGTACTAGCTCTGTCATCATTTTTTTTTTTGAAAACCCAATTTACTGCAGCTAACAATATCGCTTCGTTTGGAAAACTGTAAAAGTGATTAAATATTGAATAAACTCTTTGTTCATTGATCTCGTTGTGAAACATGACGGGACTGATTTTGCGAATATTGAGTCATTTAGCCTGAAGGAGATTTGCATTCCAACCATTTTACCCGCAATGTCGAAACAGGACGTAGGAAGGATAATGTGTACCCACCAAATTTACTTGAATTGTTCTAATTCGAATGCGTTCACTTGCAGTTGGAATCAGTGCCACCTTAATTCTGCTGTGAATAAAGTTGGACCACGTGAATATTTACCANTTCTGTCGAATAGACGTTTCTTTTGATTGATATTAGTGTGTTGATATTTTTTTAACTTAAATAGACAATTTGCATGGGGTTTATTTTCATTAGCCCAATTCATAAAATCTCAACGGAAATTTTGTTATTGAAGCATTCATGCGATAAGCGAGGAAGATGTGTGATTAAGAGTAAATCGAAGCAAAGAACAAGTTACTTTCACGGTTGTTCACGGCTTTGTGATTGATCAATTTGTTGTGATATTCTTTCATTTCTTACAGTCGTTGAGAATGTTGTATTCATTATGGTTATTGTGTGATTTTTTGTTGTTTTTTGTTTATAAATTTACTTGTTGTCACTCAATAAATATTTCATTCATTGTGAAAAGTCTTATCTTTATTCCAAAAGTTCTACTGAAGAAAATTCCAGCACGTTTTTCAATGTTGTTCTTTTTGATAGTACGAGATTTGCACTAGATGCACTCCGTGTGTTTATATTACCTGCATTGGCATGCAGGCTATCAAACGTTTGTAACGTTACTGGCCACAATGCTCGCGTTTCCGTGCACATTGTTTTAGCCTCAATTTACGCCACCCAGCTGGCTAGGCGAGCAGGCCACCGTGTGTTTATATAATGATCAGTTAGTGAAACGCTTTATTTTCCCAGGAATTATTGAAATTCAATTGGGAAGGTATTCTTATGGGAAGAAAGGTATTAGTGAAATGTACTCCTTGTGGGAACGTCGTAGTGCACTCAGGTTAAAACCATTACCAGTCAATCTGACCAAAGACATTTTGCCTAAAGACAATTTGCCTAAAGACACATTGCCTAGCGACAGCTTGCCTAACGGACAGTTTGCCTAACAGACAATTTACCTAAAGGACAGATTGCCTGTTAGGCGAAATATGTATTAAAAAACTGTAAATTAGACAACCTGTTCGTTAGGCAATGTGTCTTTAAGCAGATTGACCGGGTAGCGATTCAAAATGATGCAGGCACTCTGTGTCCATCGATCAATTTGCATGTAGCAATGACCGAGCTCTTTTCTGCTAAAAAAAACATTCCCATTTCTGGTACAGCTCTGGAAATTCATTTTTCATTTCATAATCATAGTTACTCGGAGAAATCGATCTGAAATTCCTGCTACAGTATAAGCTCAAACATTTATAAACGACTCGTTTGGTGGTGCTTTCTGAGCTCGGAATGAGGAGTTCTTTTTCCGGAGCTATTTTTAATGTCTTCGTGTTATTTCCACAACAAAATTAAAGATCTCGAAAAGTACATCAAGGCTGCGGATGGAACGGTGCGAACGGGAGCATGGCATTGTCGATCCTGGATCACCTGGCCGTACAAAAATTTGCCAGGTCGCACCAGAATTGGTCTGCACCAGAATCAATTAATTTTGGCCTGGCTCAGTAAGTTTCCTTCCAGCACAACGTATCTCAGTGCGGCACTTTCACACTCTTGTGCCTTCTACATGTAGAAAGTCGGTGTAAAGCGTATGCAAGTGAAGTAAACTTGTCAAGTGTCTGATTTGATGTGTAGCATTGTTGGAGTCAATGTGCAGTACGCTCTTGAGTGGTTCCCGATATTCATGAGTCATACTGAATACATTATAATTGAATCTACGAAAGCTGAAGCGATTTATCCAGTGTTGGGCACGCTATCGAAACACAATAGCGCACTATCGCTATTCCGCTATCGAAAAGAAGTCCGCTATTTCGCTATCGCTATTGCTATTATCCCCGAAATTGGTAGCGGAGCGTTATCTCTATCACTAGTGCCCAACACTGGATTTACCATATTGCAGTTTTGTCGCCTTAAACACTTTGAAGAGAGCTTTTTGGAATTTCTCTTAGCAATTGCATAAAGATGAGGTCGTTTATTGAGAAACAGAGCTCATCAACGTTCTCACGTAAAAGAAGCTCCACATGAATACTTTCTTCTACCGAACTGGGAAGCTATTTTTGATTAAGATGCATTCATAAATGTATGCATTTGTTCAGAAACGGAAATTTCCTTTGATTTTTCTAAAAAAAATACTCTCATCAAGTGGAGAAAGAATTTCGCTTTCGTGATGCACCGAGAGAACTGCGCAACTTCACGGAGATCTACGGAAATCCGTTTTATCGTTCAATGTTTTTGCTGGACAATAGAGTCATCGATTTTTCGTAGTTTGCATAATATTCCGTGTATNAGTTTCAAAATAACCAACTGTAAACAATTTCCAGTGTCGAATATCACTGACCGTGAGTTGCATTTTTAGCATGCATTCACAATCTCATTACAATCCATGAGAAGGGAAATTAGAAATGCGCCTTTTTGGTTGCTCCTATTAATCTGTTTAGCAGCTTTCTTCAGTAACGCTGGTGATTAAGATGAGGATGAATGAATGGCTCTGTTCAATCTTAGTGCACAGCTATCAGCTAGATAATAGAGAGATAAAGCTGGTGTGGGACGAGGCTCATCCGGGAGAAGATAATGAGAAGAGGCAGTTAACTGACAACCATATTATAAAGACGATTTATTCGTTCGTTCACTGCTATGTCACTTTACCGTAGTATTATCTTACTCGTTACTAATTAAACGTATGCGATTTGAGGATTTGAGTGTGCGAGGAACGAATTAAGTCTAATCTAATCGATTCACTCATTACATTGCAATATCATTCGAATATAATGCAATTATCTTTATTTAAATGGCTGATTAGCCTTACCAACCAGTTGACAATATACTTACTCACTTTCGTGCCTTTGGCCGTATGGCAGACCACACTTCATCGTCTTATTTTTTGAACAATTCCTTTAAATGTCCTCCGAAAAAATTTGGTGAATTCGGGTAATTGAATTCCCATTTTTGACATATGCTTTCAGCTATACGTCATTCTCGAGTACTGATCAAATGAACGGAACCACTGGAAAGGTTTTATCGAATCAGTTGATATTTTGTGAAATATTCGAGCTTTATTTGAAAAAAAAAGTGAAAATGATGAACGTTTCGATGCTGTTATCTGACTATGCGTTCAATTATTATCTAAATGCCGACAATAGCTAACTGAAATTTGTTTACTCAGTGAAATATATTCTTTCTAACATCATTCATTAATTCAGTTGATAAAGAGTTCGAATTGTTTGTTGCTCACAAAAACACTTTTGGTAGCCCCAAAGGCGGTGTTGAAGAGAGATGTTTATTCATAACGGCTTCTGATGCTGTTGAATAAAGCGAGTTTATGTAACAGCGAGGCAGAATGTGTTGATAGATGTGTGCTTTAAGCGAGAGTGATCGATATCCATAAGTGCATAATGATGATTAGAATTATTGTACAAGAAATACACATCATGTGCATACACAACACAGCCAATCGACATTCAATCTTTCATTTCATTTCATCGCATCAAATTCCGGTTTCTTCACATTACATGTCTACAAAACGGTTCCACATCTACTTGTATTTGTTGCATATATAAACAAATACATAAACGTTTATCTTGTTTCACTTTCCGGTGAAAATAAGTAATGGTTGAGAAGGATGGATGACAGGATAATACAGTTCAGTTCAGAGAGGTAGATGAGATACACTCGTGCAGCGTATCATCGGTATTGACGATGGCAGACAACTATCACTCGGACATTCCGTGTATTATCAGTTGACATTCGTGCACTGCAATGAAACAAGGTTGCATTGCTATTTCCAGCAATAACATTGAAAGAGATCTCTACTGACAGACGAAATATGATTTGTGTTCGAATTGACTTCACTGATATTAGTGAACATAAAACTGAACATTTAATTTAAACTACTCACTCTTGGTGCAATCGTTAAGCTTTAGTCTAAATTACTGAACTACACACATCTTTGAAATTATCATTCTCTGTTGAATTGCTCTTCAAAATGGTCCCAATATTTTTGGCTGTATTGTCGGGTTCGCTGGCTTTATGGTTTCCCGTTAATTTGAAGAGCGACCTACTCAGAAATATATTTCAGGATGGATCAAAGATATATTCTCTAACCTCTTCGGGTTTTGAGAGGATAGGGAAATTACATCCTCCCTTTAGCTCCGCTAAATTTATCCGCTTGCAAAATTTGCTGAACGTGATAAAGACCATTCGGCATTCTCTAATGAAATATTCTAGAGGCATTAGAGGTATTCTCAAGTGAAGGTGCAAATCAACAGCTCATGGTAATTTTACAATGAAACAGACTAATTTTGAAGTTCTTAGAATGCTCATATCTAGCTGTCTGCATCCAGTGCTTGACATTTCCTCGTAATTGTATTATACAATGGCTGGATCACTAGCATCAGATGTTGCGCTACAATTAAGATCAACCTAATGCGCATAAAATCAAAAATTTTGCTGCTCCATCGAAAACAGTCTAAATTTGAAAGTTCAGATTATTGCGAAAAATTCATCTCGATGAACCCATCTGATCTAAAGAGGGAAAGAATTCAACCATCCGACACAGTTCAAGAAAATGAGCATTGAGAACCGTGTAGCATGTTGAAACCTTGCAAAAATCACTGGAAGTAATTCAGCTTTATCTGTTTGATTGAACTCAGATTTAGGCTCAAAATTTCACTGAGGCT